GACTTGCTAACTTAACTTCATCGGACTTAGCCCCTAAAGAATCTGATCCCAAATGATTATACGTAATTAAAAAATGGTATTTGCGATAAAATTATTCATACTGAATATACGCATAGAGTCGATTCTTCAAAGATGTTTGTAAGTAAATTTACAAGCTTTTTTTGTCTGCCACTCATATACCGTAAAACTGCGAAATAACGCGCAGGGGTAAAGTTACGAATTTTGGCCTAAATTAAGCTTTATTTAGGCCAAAATTCGTAACTTTACCCCTGCGCGTTATTTCGTGGTGGTTATTTTTGTTAAACTTAATCCTGAAAAATATAAAAGCGTCTAGAGTTCTCCTCCTTTATACGTTATTTTATTGCTTATTATAATATTAATATTTAAATTTACTAAATTACAGTATTATATAAACTCCCGTGGCTTCGCCACAGGTCATTTGCTAGTTGTATGAATAGAATAGGCTTGGCGGTAGCGTACGTATTGATTGGTTGCATTATATGAAGTTAGTTATTTAAATATAATTGGCTGGCGTTATACATAACATATATGACTTTTTTAATATCTCTATTGAATCGTTTTTAAATTTCTTATCGCTATAAAAATTCGATACGTAGATTTTTTGTTTGAATCCTGTGTAAGAGTATCCGTAATCGTTATACGTATCGAAAGTTGAGTGAGATTACGTCAAAGTATGTTACACCATGTTCAGACGTTGCCCGCCATGCAAGACAGGTATTTTTTGAGATTTACTTACTCTTGACAGTTCACAAGATTTGATAAAGTTTGCTAAAAATAAAAATTTATAAATAACGCAATGATGTCAATTATGAAAAAGCCGAAGATCAGAGTATGGTACAAGTTTCCTTTTACAACAACGAAAATTTTTAATACGTATACTTTACAGTATTTTAAGAACAACCTTCCAACAATTTAGTTTAATAATACATACCAATAAGATATTAAATCAGAGAAAGTGATCTATAGCAATAGCGTAAAACGTCTTAATTCACATTTCTAGATTGATTGTCCATAGTAGTTTTTCGGATTAATAGACTTTGCAATTGGCTATTAGTATCTGCGAAGATTCATTAAATCATTTCTTAAATTAAATTAAAATCAAACCAAAAAGAGCACAAATAAAAATTAAACCAATAAAATTTTGCGTTACCGTCAATAAACGACAAGTATTTTTTTTCAAATTCCTGATTTGTTTCCATTTGAGCAAGATCAATTTTATCAAGTTCACAAATAATCGAATCATGTAATTGCTATTTTTAAACAAAATCATAAGCAAAACTAAAAATTGACTAATTAAGAAATAAAATCAACATCTTAAAAATTACCAAATATTTTGCTTCCTCAGATCTTAACTTTTTGACGATAGTGAGCTTCTCTTCATCTAATTCTTCATATTTACGTTTATATTCATTAATTTTGGCATCACTAATTGTAAAAGTCAAATCAAACTGTTTGTACAAACTCAAATAAAGAAAACATTAAATTAATACGTAATTAATCACATTTCTTGTTTTTGCCTTGATACAAGCTCATGGGCAAATTCGGATATTTGTTGAATCACTGAGTCACATTCTGAGGAAAGCTTTCGTTGTTTGTCTTTTACCCTCTTTTCCATACGATCTTTTAAATCTCATTTAGTAGTAATTGAAGTTTACCACATCTTTTATTAATTAATTAAAGTGTAATTATTACTTACTATTAAATGCGGTGAAAATTTGAACAATGTCATCTCTAACAAATTAGGAAAATAATTTTTTTTTTCTTTTAGATAAATGAAAGAATAGACCTAGTTCGTTTGAAAGCAAGTGCGTACCCCCCATCTTGATCAGGACTATTACCGGATTCATCATCACTTGGAATATTTTGGTAAGATTTGCGGTTCGAGGATTTTTGAGGCATTATATTAATGAAAAAAAATATATATTATAATGAATTATGATAATGGTATTATTCCTTGTAAAGAGGTGAAACCAAGGTTTGTCCGCAGTAAACGATTAAATATTAAATTGATTTGTTAGTTATAATTAGTGACGTAATTATGTCCAACGAAATCTCATTAATTTTGTTTGTTACACTAGATCGTAAAATTTTTAGGAGTACTGGAAAAAGGATTTCTATTTGATCTCATAGACTACCACAAAGTTTGTATCTCAATTATAAAAAGATTCATTGGTTATCAATAATTTAAGGGATGTAATTATATATTTGAGTCTTGGCGCTAGTTTATTAAAATATTTAAATGAAGACATACTATATCACATGAACATTTTTGATACATTTTTGATACATTTCTGATGCATTTCCGATTTGAAACATTCGGGCATAGGATGTCATTTTGAGACCGATGATTCAATGAACGCCGGCCTATAAATGAAATTGCTAAAGTGGAGGGAATATATTTCTTATTTAGGAATCTTGAACAAAGGTTATTCATATTGATGAATGTAGAGGTAGGTTTCATTATGTAATTGAATTAATAGATACAGTTTGTGATTCATTACGACTTTTATGGCTTTATCATACACATGACATTCGCCCGATGATCATTAAAATTTTTAACTTGAACTTTTTTAACCATTTTGTTATCAAACCTGGATGTACTGAATACCTAATAAACTTTGCATAACTTTAAATTTCATTAAGTTTGTTATTAAATTGTTTTAAAAAAAACGGCTTAAATTTGGCTTAGCTTAATGCTAAGCCGAAATTTAGAATCTGGCTTAGCCACAGTTGTAAAGATTATTGTAAAGATTATTTGATTGTCCAATTCACCTAAATCTTTCGACCATTTCTTAGATCAACACTAGCGTTAGTAGTGGTAAAATTTTAAGTTAACGTCGACCCGACATAATATAATCCCTTTAGTCGATCATAGTAACAAGGTTCTAAGATAGCCATAACAAGAGAATCAGTAAAGAAGACATTAACCTTATTTCATATTCGTATTAATATTCATATTAAAAATCAAGGTATTTATATTAAATGCAACGTATATGAAAAGATAATTCATCATATATATATCATATATGAAGGAATACCATGTCTACCGACTATTCTTAAAGTTTGATCAACAGAATTCAATAAATTGACGATTGGTTCTAACAGATCCCATGTGTTTGACGTTCATAATGCAGAAGATTGTCAAGTATATGTATCTCAGTTACCGATGAGGGGAATGAGGAGAACCTTACAACCTATCACATTAATTAACTGTGTATATGTTTAGCCAACCATCGGAATCTGTCGGAATGGGTCTGGTGGAATTGAGGTCGCAATTACTTACATAAGTATATGTATCCTTATTTTTTCTATCATGAGACATAATAGAGATATAATAGAGACATAATAGAGATATAACAGATAATGGATGTAGAGACGAACTTTATATGGAAAATAAAGCTATTTTATCAGATGATTTACTTTTTATATAATTGGTTGAATTTGAACATTGTTATGCGGCTCGGACCATTTATTCTTCCGAAGCAGGTTGGAAAGTAGCATTTATAAAAATGTAACAAATACGAAAATATCAATTTAAAAACATTTACGATCTGTTAAACCAACTCTAAAAATGTTTTAATTCTATTTATAGGCTTTTGATAATCCAGATTTCTAAAAGTTATAAATAATAAATACTAGATATAGGTATTGTTGTTTGTGTAAGAATGGGTCCTGATTATATACATTCTAATTTAATTAATTTCATGCAATCCTTTTTCTGATATTCCTGTGGTTGGATTAAGTAATGTAGGAGTTTACGCTTGTCTATCCAGGTTTGAAATTTCGAACGGCTTTATAATATTAAAAAATCCATTTTCTCCTTTTTTTTCTTTTCCATATATATTTCTAATTTGTTTTTTGAATTTTCTTGTTTTTTATGTTTCTTTTTTGTTTCTTCATATTCTCTTACGATATTTCTTATTTAATAAAACATAAAACTGAAAAAATTTATCATCCTCATATTCCATCAGATCAACATATATAATTTATACTATTCAACTCAAGGTTTAAGTTCCTTTCTTTTAAAAGGCAAGTTAATATTGTGTACGTATAAGACCAATGCAAGTTTTTATATCCTTTACTATAAATAGTAGTTAAATTTTTATGCAGCATGTAAAACTGCTGTTTAATACATCATTATTGTACACAGAAAATATTCGAGTGCCACTGTTCTTGCATATTTTATTCTATGTGCCGTTCGTTTTCTAGAGTATATTTTCCTCCCTTACCCTTTTTTTATCTTATTTCCTCTTCACACTTTAACGTTCCATTTTTTATCTCCCTTTTTTTATTATTAAAGTGTTAATATTAGACTTATTGGCGTCTATTTAGAATAGTACTTCATATAACCCACCTATCATGGGTAAAAAAAAGAATTCTTCCTCGTCGAGCGAGGAAAAGTCTGACCTTTGTAATATACAAAATATTTCTCAAGACTCCATAACTGCTACAATTCGCGACCGTTATCAACATGACTTTATATACACTCGTTTAAACTGTTCAGCTCTTGTTGCCGTTAACCCTTATAAAAAACTACCCATCTTCAATGATTCAACCGTTCAAGAATATGTTACTGACTATAAAGACACTTCAGGTCAAAGTACTTCTCTACCTCCTCACGCTTTTCAAATTGTCTCCCATTCTTATTTACATATGCGACGTACTGGTCAAGACCAATCTATAATATTAAAGTATATATCTTTATTTTTTATTTATCTTAATATTATTCTTACTAATTGAATTATTACTAATTCTTTTAATTAAAAAAATATTAAAAAATAAAAAATAAGTGGTGAATCTGGGAGTGGAAAATCTGAAACTAGAAAACTTTTAGTAAAACAATTAATTGCTCTTAGTGCTCATCATAAGAAAGCTTCTCGTGTTCAAATTCAGGTCCCTTGTTCAGAGTTTATTCTGGATTCTTTTGGTAACGCAAAAACTTGTTCCAATAATAATGCTTCTAGATTTGGAAAATATACCGAACTTCAATTTAATGAACGTGGAAAATTAATCGGTGCTAAAACTCTTGATTATCTTTTGGAAAAAAATCGTGTCTCTAATGTCCCTTCAAATGAACGAAATTTTCATGTCTTTTATTATTTAATCGCTGGTGCCTCTCAAGAAGAAAAAGCTCATCTTCATCTTACTGAAATTCCTAATTATCGTTACCTTAATGTCGCTAAAGGTTCTAGATCTTCGATTGAAGATGTCGATAATTTCAATGAATTAAAACAAGCTCTAAAATCTCTTGGTTTTCATAAAAAACACGTTGCTCAAATGTTTCAACTTTTGGCTTCAATTTTACATTTGGGCAATATACAATTCGTTCAAGATTCTAATAAACAAAATGAAACTGCTTCTATTAAAAACTTGGATGTTTTAAACTTGGTAGCTGACTTCTTAGGCCTCGATCCTCGTTCTCTAGAAAATGTTCTCACTTATAAAACAAAGTTAATAAAAAAGGAAATGTGTACTATTTTCTTAGATGCTGATGCCGCTTCCATACAACGTGATGATTTTGCAAAGGCTCTTTATTCTTTATTATTCAGTTGGATCGTTGAATATATTAATACTAAACTCTGTCAAGATGATTTTGCTAATTTTATCGGTATCTTGGATCTAATCGGATTTCAAAATTTACAATCTAATTCTCTGGATCAATTCTGTGTCAATTTTGCAAACGAAAAAATTTTTAATTTCACTTTAAATCAAATCTTTGAAGCTCGTAAAGAAGAATTTCAATCTGAAGGCATCAACTTTTCCGATTTACCTTATCCTAATAATAAAGAATGTTTACGTATGATAGCAAAACCTTCTACCGGTTTAATTTCTATCATGAGCGATCAAGCTAACAAAGCAAATCGTAAAACTGATCAAACTATGTTGGATACTTTCAACAAAAAATATTCCGAGCACGATTCTTTCATTCCTACTGGAAAAAGTTTAAACTCTCTTCCAACTTTTGGCATTCGTCATTTTGCTGGTCAAGTTACTTACGATTCTTCTGGTTTCCTTGAAAAAAATATTGATAATCTTGGCGCAGATTTTGTCTCTCTATTTCGTAGTAGTGAAGGTTCCATTTCATCTAGTAATCAATTCATTACTGGTCTCTTTACTGATAAAACTGTTGCTACTGAATCTCATCCAAGAAATGATGATACAATTGTTGCTGCTCAACAATCTGTTAAACCTATGCGTGCTCCTTCAATGCGTCGTAAAAAAGATCAATCTACTTCGGATTCTAGTAAACCTAAAGTAGCTTGTGTTGCTACTCAAATTTCTTCTGCTCTTGATGAATTATGTGAAACACTTGAAGAAACTTTATCTTGGTACATTTTTTGTATAAGACCTAATGATGCTCAACTTCCAAATAATTTTAATCAAAATGTTGTGCAAAATCAAGTAAAATCTCTTGGATTACCTGAAATAGCAAAAACATTAAAAACTAATTATACTATTGGAATGTTACATCTGGACTTTTTAGAAAGATATTCAAATGTATTGGATTCTATAGGTTTAGATCAATATAAAAATCCGAAAGCAAAATGTGATGCTATAGCTAATGGTTTCGGTTGGAATACTGAAGATATGGCTGTAGGATACAATAAGGTAATTATTATTATTATTATTATTATTATTATTATTATTATTATTATTATTATTACTATTTTTATTATTATTATTTTATATTATTTTTTTTATTATATTATTAAACAACATATTTATCAAAATTTCTTAAATTTTTTTAATTCCTTCAGACTTATTTAAGTGAAAAAGTTTGGCGCCATTTAGAAGATATGCTTAGGAGATTGGATAACGAAGAAAAACGAAAAAAGAAATCCGATAAAAAAGGTATCTCGTTGATGCACGATAACGGGCAAAATGATGATGCTATGTCTCAGGCTTCATATCCTTCAAATCAAGAATTATATGCTGGTCCTCGTCGTCTTTCTCCTCCAAGAAATTTCGATCAACAATCTTTCTATTCTGGTGATGATAATCGTTCAAATTATTCTGATGATTATTTTCAAGATGAAAGTCATAGTCAATATGGTGAAAGCGTTTCCTATGGTTCGGATGTTTATGCTCCTTCTCATAATATGTTTGGTGGTTTGGATGCTAGGAAAACTTTACCTGAAAAAGATCCAATTCCCGAAGAGGAACCTGAAGAACCTCGTAAAGTTACTGCTGCTCGTAAGAAATGGGTATTCCTTACTTGGTTACTTACTTGGTGGATCCCTCCATGTTTCTTAAAGTGGTGTGGTGGTATGAAACGTAAAGACATTCAAATGGCTTGGCGTGAAAAGGTTGCACTTTGCTTTATTATATTTCTCATATCTTGTGCGGTTATCTTTTTCATCGCTGTCTTGGGTCTTTTAATTTGTCCTAGAGTTTATATTTATACTGATGAGGAAGTTAGTGAGCATAGTTTTGATAAAAGTCCGGACAATGTTTATGTATCTATTCGAGGTGAAGTTTATTCCTTGAATAATTTTGCTCCTCGTCATATACCAACTCTTGTTGATCAAAAGTCAATATTAACCTATGGTGGTACCGATGCAACAAAATTATTTCCAGTTCAAGTTAGTGCTCTTTGTAGTGGTGTTGATCCTAGAGTAACTTTTGATTATAATCTTGGTACTAATGCGGATCCAAATGCTAAATATCACGATTTCCGTTACTTTACTGATGATTATCGACCTGATTGGTACTTTGAAGAAATTTTATTGAAAATGAGAGCTCAATATTTAGTTGGTCAAAAAGGTGTTCCTCCACAATCAGTGAAAGATATGGCAGTTGTTGGTAAAAAACAAGTTGCAATTCTTTATGATCATGTATATGATCTTACATCTTATGTCATGAATGGTCGTGGTGCTCTTGGTCCTGGAGGTGCTAATGTTACTGATAATGTAAACAAAGATTTCATGAATGATATGATTGTAGGACTTTTCACTTCTAGTAGTGGTTTAGATATTAGTAAAAAATTCGATGCTCTACCTCTTAGCAAGGATGTAAAATCCGATCAATTAACTTGTTTACGTAATTTATTCTATATTGGAAGAGTGGATCATCGTAATTCACCACAATGTCTTTTCTCAAATTATGTTTTAGTCGCTTTTTCTGGAGCTTTGGTCGCCGTAATCTTATTCAAATTTTTAGCAGCTTTACAATTAGGTGCTAGAAGAGAACCTGAAGAACATGATAAATTTGTCATATGTCAGGTCCCTTGTTATACTGAAAGTGAAGAATCAATGCGTAAAACTTTGGATTCTCTAGCTGTTTTAAGATATGATGATAAAAGAAAGTTATTATTCATTATTTGTGATGGTATGATTGTTGGTACTGGTAACGACCGACCTACACCACGTATCGTTTTAGATATATTAGGTGTTGATCCAAATATGGATCCGGAACCTCTCAGTTTTTTATCTCTTGGCGATGGTGTTAAACAACATAATATGGGAAAAGTTTATTCTGGATTATATGAATGTAGTGGACATGTTGTACCTTATCTTGTGGTAGTTAAAGTCGGTAAACCATCAGAACGATCTCGACCTGGTAATCGTGGTAAACGTGATTCTCAGATGATACTTATGAAATTCTTGAATAAGGTACATTTTAACTCTGAGATGACTCCCTTGGAATTGGAAATGTATCATCAAATCAAAAACGTTATTGGTGTAAATCCTAGTTTTTACGAATATATACTTATGGTGGACGCTGATACTGAAGTTATGCCGGATTCATTAAATCGTCTTGTATCTGCATTCATGCATGATACCAAAGTAATGGGTCTTTGTGGTGAAACTACCCTTTCTAATGAAAAAGATTCTTGGGTCACTATGATTCAAGTATACGAATATTATATATCTCATCATCTTTCTAAAGCATTCGAATCTCTTTTCGGTAGCGTCACCTGTTTACCCGGTTGTTTCTGTATGTATCGTGTTCGTACACCTGATACACACAAACCTTTATTAATTAGCAATCAAGTTATTGAAGATTATTCTGAAAATTTTGTTGATACTTTACACAAGAAAAATTTACTTTCACTTGGTGAAGATCGTTATTTGACAACACTTATGATGAAACATTTTTCAAATTACAAGATGACATTTGTTCCAGATGCTCAATGTAAAACTACAGCTCCAGATCAATGGTCCGTTCTTCTTTCTCAACGTCGTCGATGGATTAACTCCACTGTTCATAATCTCATGGAATTAGTGTTCTTACCGCAACTTTGTGGTTTCTGTTGTTTTTCAATGCGTTTTGTTGTTATGATTGATTTATTCGCAACACTTATTATGCCAGCCACAGTTGCATATCTTTGTTATCTGATCGTTCAAGTTATAAGGGATCCAACAACTATACCTATTTTGTCATTAGTATTGCTTGCTGCTGTATATGGTTTACAAGCAGTAATATTTATTCTTCGCAGAAAATGGGAACATGTTGGTTGGATGATTGTTTATATCCTTGCTATGCCTGTTTTTTCTTTCTACCTACCAGTCTATGCATTCTGGCATTTTGATGATTTCTCATGGGGTAACACTCGTGTTGTTGTTGGTGACAAAGGCAAAAAAACGATGATATCTGACGAAGGCAAATTTGATCCAAAGGTTATTCCCAAAAAGAAATGGTCTGATTATGAACAAGAATTATGGGAAGTTAATACACAAGGATCTCATGATTCCTCACACACCAGAGTTTCGGATCGCTCATATCATTCTAATCGATCCAAGAAATTAGGATCTGCTCCTGGATCCCAAGCTGGTTCTGTTTATGGCGATTATCATGATGAACGTGGTGGTATGAAAAGTCGATCTCGTTCACCAGCACCTCCATTTATTGATGAAAATGCTAGAGCTGCTTCTCCATATCTTGGTGGTGATGTGCGATCCCGTTCGCGTCATGGTGATTCGACAAGTCATAGAGGATCAACACTCTTACGTGTTGACAATGATCTTTCTGGATCACGGCCTTCTAGTCTTATAGAAGCCGGATATTACGGAAGTTCAATAATAGATAGCGGTTTTCCTTCTGACGATGAAATACTTCAAGAAATTCGAAATATATTGTCTGTCGCTAATCTAATGACAGTAACAAAGAAACAAGTGCGAGATGATTTATCTAGTTTCTTTGGTATGGATATGAGCTCAAAGAAAGAATACATTAATAATTGCATAGAATTAATACTTCAAGGAAAGCTGTAATCAAACACTTTAAGTTTATAATTACTAACATTAATAATTACAAAAAAGAAAAAAGCAACAATTCTTAACAACACGCAAAGATCCGTTCATTTTTTCATTAGTCGTTTTAATATATTTTAATTTAGCTCCCAATTAACGACCTTTTAAAAGTAGCAATTATTAGTATTTTATTATAACTATTTACATTTAAATAGGCTATTAATAAAAAGTGAACATTATTTTTTTTTTTGTAGGTTATTCTAGTCTAGATTAAGATTTTATTGTTTTTTTTTTATATATACTATTTATAAAAACCTAAATACTTACTAAATGATGTATACAAATAGTAGTTTTAGCATTTTAGTAAACAAAAGTTTTTTTACAAGGTGTGGTTGGTATATTTACTTATTTGTTTTTTTACAAAAAATAATTTACAATAATAAAATTTTATAATTTAAAAAAAATTGCAATTAAGGCCATACAAATTTAATTTCTTGGTTTTCATAATATGAAAACTTTAAACAGACCGGCCATGTTTAAAATGCCTTTTATTTACCTATTGTATAAAAAACGATCCTATATGTAAAATTTTATTTTAAAAAAATTTTACTTAGCAATCACAAAACACGTTTCAATAGTTGTTATTACTTATAAGTCAAATAAAATAACATTAAAAAAAATTTTTTTTAACGAATAAGAATATCAAGCAAATTTACATTTGAAAAAAAATTAATGCTTTAACTTTCACAATTCATATCTCAATAGGTTTTAAAGCTATCTTGATGGTTTAATATTCAAATAAAAGCTTAGATTGTAAGCTTTCTTTTGAATATTAAACCATTAAGATAACTTTAAAATCCGTCAAAATATGAGCTGTTTAAGATAAGGCATTAATTTTTTTTCAAATGTGAATTTGCTTAATTTCTATTAATGGCAACCTATATTGTTCATTTTTTTTTGCTACGTATTGTTTTTAAATTTTTGTTATTATTGCTATTGCTATATATGGTTGTATTTTCTTGTATACTATTATTATTTTTTATTTTTTTGTTAAAGGTTATACTTGTGGTGATACTTTATTGACTTATATTAGGTTAGCTATTACAACTATTTTTATAGAGATGAAAGTACAGCTAATCACACATGCAATTTTTGGTTGTCTATTTAAATAGTCTGTTCTAAGGTTCTACACTAGATGCTATATCTATAACCTACTAGGAGATTATCCATTTAAACCCTCTGATCATTTGCCTTGTTATATTGAAATTTCAACTTACCTTCTGTATATACCTAACCGATATACTATCTGAGCAGTATAGTATCTATCTTTTTTGTATTGGTTCTCAGGTTGTTATACATTTTAAAGTATGTTATTTGCCAGTAAGATGCAGAAGATTTTTGTTGTTAACTATTTACTCACTTTTAAAACATTAATACAAGTTACTCTTATAGAATTCATCTAGACCCTAGCATTGATTTCACAGCATATCTTTAATACTTTTAGTATAACTTAGTTTTGAATTCAAACTCCTAATTCAGATAGCTTGAAAGAACTGTGATCTGTTCTTGGTATATTAAGATTGGTCCAATATTCTTTTCCTCTAGTCCAAAATCTGGTAGCCTAGTTGGTAGTACTCCTTATTCAAGATTCTTACTTGTCTGATTCCTTCATATTGGTATCTATTTCCTAGGTCTAGTCTTTACAGTAGTATCATCAAAGATCTGTATTATCTCTCTGCTCAGAAATTCCAAGTAAGCTCTGACTTCTTAGTTTTATAGATTTACATGGCCTGAGGACTTATTTTAAGTTTGCATTGCCCAGTACTGGTTTGCATTCCTCTGTATAATAGATTATACAGATGCTTCAGATCTGTCAGTTATACTGATATAATTATAGTTACAGGTATCCTATCTCAACTGATTGACAGAATGCCATTACCATAATACTGTCTATATATTACATGAGTGATTATTCAAATTTTACTATTGATAAGTTTTGAACTTACAACCTACTACTTGGGAATATAATAACTTATTCACTTTACTAAGTTATCACACCTGATATATTATTATTTTGATTATTATATTCTTTTTAATTGTTTGTAAAGTTTGTTTTAATGCTTTGTATTTATTTTTTTATATACTTTTATAGATTTTTTTGTAATTTTGTAAAATAATCTTGTTATATTTTATTTTATTTTTAGGTTATAAAATAATCAAATTAAGTGTTTTTTTTGTTTTAGTTATAATTAGATCTTAGATTATAATTATATCTTGTTCTGCTTAAATTAATTAAGCAAAATATTATTAAATAAATTTTTGTTTTTATTTTTTTTTGTCTAAAAACTTGTTAATTATTTTATACAAATATGTATCTATGTTTTAAATATTTCTTATATATATTAACTAATATGTATTTTTTTTGTTTTTTTGTATATTGAACAAGTTATTGTTAGATTTTTTGTTAAATTATATTTGTATAAATTTTTGAAATTGACAGTTTATTGAACAAAAATTTTATCAAAAATTTTAAGTTTTAAATAACTAAAATATATTTGATAATTGTTAATATTATATTTTAGTTTATAAAACAATATATTAGTTTTTAATTAATATTTATATTACTTATTAAGGTTTGAGTTTTGTTTTGTAAATATTATAATACTAAGTTTTTTATATTGTATATTTCAGATAAAGTTTTTAGAAAAGGTGTAGTAACTTAGTAAAATAGAAAAGTTGATATCTCTTTAAATAACAGGTTATAAGTTCAAAGATAAAATTTAAAAAAATATATTTGTATTATAGCAATAATATTTTGTTAATTAGTTGGAATAAGATACTTGTAATTACAGTTATATTAGTATAACTAGCAGATTATGAGACATTTGTATAATTTTGATTACACAAAAGAATGCAAACTATGCAAACTCAAGATAAGTTCTTATAATTATATAAATCTGTAAAACTAAAGAAAACTGAAGCTTACTTGAAAAGAAAAATAATATAGATCTTTGATAATATTATTGTAAATTGAATTTAGAAAACAGATACTAATATAAAGAAATTAAATAGATAAGAATTTTTAGATAAGAAGTACTACTAATTAGTTCACTAAAATCAAACTAAAATAAAAAAATATTAGATTAAACTTGATATATCAAGAACAAATTATAGTTTTATCAGACTATCTGAATTGAATATTAAATAACAAAGCATAAGTATATTATAAGTATTAAAAATATATTGTAAAGTTAATACTGTGATATAGATAAATTTTATAAGAGCATAGTCTTATTAATGTCTTGTAAATAGGTATATTAGTTAGCAAAAAAGCTTTTGAAGTTCTACAATTAAGTAATATATTTTAAAACATATAATAGTTCAACAGATATATAAAAAAAAAAGCTAAATATACAACATTTAGATATACAAAAATTATAAATTATTTAACTAATACTATATAAAATTAGAGTATATAAATAAATAATTTTTTAGCAGATTACAGATATAGTAGTTAGTATAAAATCTACAGACTAATTATTTAAATAAGTAATCAAAAATTATATATATGATTAGTTATATACTTATCTTATACAAGTTATATATATAAATATATAGAGTGTGATGACCTAGTGAAGTGGTCAGGTTGTCAACTCCTAAAGTGATAGGTTGGGTGTTCAAATCTCATCGATGGCAAAAATTTGGATAATTACTTATGTAATATTTGTATTATGGCAACTGTTACTAATGATTAAGTTAGAATATCTGTAATAGCAGTTATACTAGCATGACTGGCAGGTTATAGGGCATCTGTGTAAGTATGACATTATACAGAAGAATGCAAACTAACAAATCAGATGGTGCAAATACTAGATAAGTTCTTGTAGTCATGTAAATCCATTAAAATTAGATAACAGGAAGTCTATTTGGAAAGACCTAAATAGAGAGGTAGCTGGATCTTTAACAGCTTTACTATAAAGGCTAGCTTGAGAAAATGGATACCAAGATCATAGTACCTAGTCATAGTAGCTGGATAGGCAAGAACCTCCAGGTTGAAAGTTTCAGGAGTACCACCAATCAGGCTGCCAAAATGAATCAAAGAAAAAGGATATTAGGCTAATCTGATATACTGATAGACTAGTCATAGTCCTACACAGACTATCTGAATTAGAAGTTTGGTAAAAAGGCTGGACAAAAGACAAAGGTATACTAAAGTACTAGGGTTATACTGTAAAGTAGATGCTGGGATCTAAGTGAACTCTATAAGGGCATAGTGGTTTAATAGTTAGCCCTGATTGCAAGTGTTAGTTCTGTCATAGTAATACCTAGATCAGTTATAAAAATGTATACAGAAGGCTCTGAGGGGTTTACCTCAAGGATAAATTAGTCCTAAAGTTGAGGATAATGATCTGGGCATCTGAGATGATCAGTAATATTAATACAGGTTACAGGTTCAGAGGGTTTAAAATAAAACACCCAAGCAGAGGTGTTAGGTATAGCAATTGGTAAAAAACCTTCAGGTGGACTTCTTAAATAGGTAATATAGAAAAGTTACACATATAGTCAATTGTATGCTCTCTTGTAGTGATTCATTGAACCACAATACCAATAAGTGATTAATAAAAGTCAAAAGACCAAAGAGGTCATCTTAATACCAAAAAAAAAAAATATATATATATATATATATAATTAAAATTACAATAAAGGTAATAGTTATTAATAAATATTAGTTTTAACAAAAAGCAAAAAGATAAATTTTTTGGTTTTTATATTATTGTATAATTTCTTTATTTTAGAGTATATATTGTATAGTTTTAGTATTAAAATTATAATATAGTTGAAAATAAAATAGTTCTAAGATTAACACAAATGCAGGTTTAAAGAATTTAAGATAGAACATTCAAACAAAAGTGTTAGATATAGCAATTAGTAAGAAACCTTTAAGCAGACTTCTTAAATAGATAATATAGAAAAGTTATATATGTAGCTAATTGTATACTTTTCTTGTAATAGTTTATAAA